TAATATAATAATTAGCATCAGTACAAGGGAAGATGGCAGAGCTAGCATCTAAGTCGGTGCTGTTTGTGTGTCTGGCTAACATTTGCTGGTCACCCATTGCAGAAGCAGTTTTCAGGAAACTGTAACTCATCAAAATGTTTCAGAGAGCTGGAGGATAGACAGTGCTGTGACATCCAGGTCTGAGACAGGGAAACCCCCCTAACCACCAGGGGCAGAGCTGCATGAGGAGGCACAGTGTTCCCATGAGCCACGTTGGGCAGACTACCAAACAAGACTTAGCCACGTTTGATTATATAGTACGTGTGGATGAAAGCAATCTGAGAGATTTGAATAGAAAAAGTAATCAAGTTAAAAACTGCAAAGCTAAAATTGAGCTACCTGGGAGCTATGATCCATAAAAACAACTTATTAAAATCCCTATTATGGGAATAACTTTGACTTCTACCAGCAATATGTCAGGTGCAGCAGAGCATTCTTGGAGAAGGCCCACTGAGGCTGGATCTGTGCCCTCCCACAGCCAAGAGCAACTAGACTCCACCCTGAGTCTTTGCACTTCTCAGTGTGCTGAAATGTACTGTGTTTTCCCGAAAATAAGACAGGGTCTTATATTTATTTTTCCTCAAGAAGACACCCTTGGGCTTATTTTCAGGGGATGTGTTATTTATTTTTAAGTATGGTACAACAATCTACCTTTATTCAAATATAGTTAAGTCGTCTTCTTCTGGAACATCATCATAACTCTCCAAACCCTGAATTCCATCCTGAATTTCTTGCGATTCTATTTCCTTTAGAACCACTGGCCCCAATCTGTCACGTCGAGCAATAGAGCACTCATGGGGCAGATGAGAAGGGCTGCTCGTCTTCTTTACCACTCCGTGACGAAATGCATGGGTTGTGCAGATATGCTGTATAGCCACGCCCATCACTAGGTTTTATTTTCGGGGTAGGGCTTATGTTGCGCAAATGCTTAGGAATTCTGCTAGGGCTTATTTTATGGGTAGGTCGTATTTTTCAGGGAAACATGGTAGTAATGTTCTGTGAACTCAGCTCTTTCTTCAGTTGACTTACTGTTTCTTATCTTAAAAAATAATGGCAGATGGAAATCAGTTGTGTTTGACACAATAAATAAAAAATCTTTTATTGAGACAGTTTATGGGGCTTATAGAAAGCGTTCTTGGACTAGCTGAACCTCTTAATTTGCCCCAATTACAAAAATAGTGGAATGAATAACATATAGAACAACAAAGTAAAACACAATGAAGTAAAACCTCACTTTAAGGCTCAGGTCATCATCTAAGCCTCTTGAGACTTAGATAATCTAGTCTACCTCCTAAATTTATGTGGATAACTTGATGAAGGACAGTGATCTCTGCTCCCTGTGCTACCTCTCTCACTGCTCGCTCCAGGGCCTTTTATTGATTGACAGTAGCCCACCTCCAAAGGAATTCACAGTCTAGATTAGAAGTGTTTTAATTCACACACACCCATAATGCATACTTGTATATTTAAAATATAGGAAAGAGAAAGATTTACAGAATCAATCTTTAACACCTTTAATACTTCTTGATTTTTGTCTAGTTTATTTCAAAGAGAAAGTCAGCTCATTTGCTCCCATTTGAACCATTCTCTCTCTGAAAAATTAATTATATATAGAAAGAAGGAGACCTGTATACTGGTTTATCTAGGGTCTATTGAGGAATATGTCTGTTTTTTATGCACATGTAATCCAAATGTCAAATATAAATTGGCTTAGGTGGGAAAAAATGATTTTAAAAGTTCTCCTATTTTGGCATGCTTAAATATTGGTATGTTAATAAGCATTCATCAGCATTAAACAAATTTCTAGGCAAATATAGGTAATTTCTATGTACTTTGAGATAATCTCAAATTCATATGAATATATGTCAGAAAAGATTGTTTTCAAAATGAACAGGGGACTGGGGGGAGGGGAGCATGGGCAATATACATAACCTTAACACTTTTAACCCCATAATACCCTAAAATTAAAAAAAAATGAACAGGGGGAGTTATAAAAATACAAAACATAAAAATAAAAATGATCATCAATTTAATATATACAACACAATAAAAACTTTACCAAATTAACCTTTTTTAATTTTACCTTAAGAATAAAACTGACTACAGAATACTTTAAAATACAAGTGCCAAACTTCAGGGCCCCAGTCTAACATGTAAAGAATGTAGAAGTCATCACTACCATTCTCATCGCAAGAAAAACGCCTGAACAAACTGAAAATCAACAACTTTCCTTGGATCCATCAAAGAACTGTGGTGATAGAGGAAACTGCAGCCACTAAAACTGGAGAGACAGGCAGATCCAGAGAATCATGCCTTAGTGGGAGCAAAAGGCTGTAGCTGGAGCCATCATCTGTAGGAACACTTGAAACTTGTATTTGACCAACTGCTGGAGGCTTAATGTGTACAAGCTTCAGAGTTAAAAACTTTGAGGGGCCCAGGCTTAGGGGAGCCCCCAAACTTTCTTGAGTTTTACCTCCAGGAGGCCCACCAGTTTCTCCTATGAAGACCAGAGAAAAATCCCCTCCTGTTTCTGGCATGGGGAGGAAAAGTAACCATTTAAAAATACACCCAGAGTTGTCTGTTCTTAACAAGGCCTGCCCTCAAAGGAAACTCTTACCAAAGGCTAACAGAGGAAGGTTTTACCAAAGCCCAAACAACCTGGGAAAAGGAAATACCCAACTCAGGCTCAATAAAACACTGAGACCTAATCATAGGACTAATAAAATGCTTCTCCTCCCCCCATAGCCCACCACCATATCAATAGGTCTCTGGTATGACAACAGGGATTACAGCTAAAAGAACTTCATCCCTCAGGCACTATGCAATAATCTCTAGGAAAACCCAAGAACAGGGGAGAGAAAAACTAGGGCACAGAGAAAATTTCAGCCTCTAATACCACAGCTATAGCAAACAGTAAATACAGCCTAACTCCTAGCCAGATAAACATAACACTTCACATTAAAGGCCTATCTACTACAGTTCCTTTTACCTGATATATGTCTTGCTTTCAACAAAAAGTGGCAAGGCATGCAAAAAGACAAAAAACATAATCTGAAAAGACAAAGCAAGCCTCAGAACCAGACTCAGATAAGGCAGAGATGTTGGAATTTTGGGACCAGAAATTTTAATAGACTATGATTAACATGGTATGAGCGCTAATTAAAAAGTGGACAACATTCCGGAACAGATGAGTAGTGTAAGCATAGAGATGGAAATTCAAAAAATATCAAAAGGAAATGCTAGAAGTTAAAAACACCATAAGAGAAATGAAGAATGCCCTTGATGGGCCCCATCAGCAGACCAGAAGCAGCTAAGGAAAGAATTAGTGACCCTGAAAAGAGATCAATAGAAACTTCCAAAACTGAAATACAAAGAAAAAAAAAGAATTAAAAGAACAAAATATCTAAGAACTATGGGACAATGAGAAAAGGTATAAATATGTGTAATGAGAATATCAGAAGGGGAAAAAAGAAAGGAACAGAAGAAATATTTGAAATAATCATGACTGAGAATTTTATACAATTAATGATAGACACCAGACCATAGATCCAGGAAGTTCAAAGAATACCAAGCAGGATAAATTCCAAAAAATCTAAACCTAGGCATAGCATATTCAAACTACAGAAAACTGAAAACAAAAAGAAAATCTTGAAAGAAGCCAGAGGGTAGGGGAGGAACAACTTACCTATAGAGTAATAAAGATGAGAATTACATCTTGACATCTCTCTTCAGAAACCACCCAAGCAAGAACAGAGTGGAGTAAAATATTTTAAGTGTTGAAAGAACAAAATCACTAACCTAAAATTCTATATCCTCTGAAATCATCCTTCAAAAGTAAAGGAGAAATAAAGACTTTCTAAGGCAAACAAAAACTGAAAGAATCTATCTCCAGTAGAACTGCCTTGCAAGGAATGTTGAAAAGTTCTTTAGAGAGAATGAAAATTATATAGATCAGAAACTCAAATCTACATGAGGAAAGAAAAAGCATTAGAGAAAGAATAAAGGTAAATTAGTATATTTTATTTTTCTTATTGATTGATCTAACAGTTAACAGTTTGTTCAAAATGATAACAACAACAATATATTCAATGATCATGGCTTATGGATAAGTGAAATGAATGACTGCAATGTGATAAGGGACAGGAGGGGGAATTGGGAATACTCTCTTATAAAGTACTTGTACTACCCATGAAGTTGAAAGTTGTAAATGTATACTGCAAACTCTAGGGCAATAAATGAGAAAAATTATCATTTACACTTTTAAAAAGTATCAATGATACGCTAAGAGAGGAGAGAAAATGGAATTACATAAAATGCTCAATTAAAACCATAGAAAGCAAAACAAGAATGGAAGACAAAAAAAGAAAGGACAAGGACAATGAATGGAAAGCAGTTAACAAACTTCATGGCCACTATAGGGTACGGGATACTGTGTGAGGACAAGGAACAACAAGCCTCCAGTGATTTTTTTAAAAACTATCCCCAAACTACTGCTTTAGAAGAAAGTTAACCTCTTTCCCTATTTAAAATGTCTACCTTTTCAGAGAATTTGGAATGGCAGTTTCTACTTTGAAAATCCTTTCTGGGATTATATATAAGACTGGAAGTCCCATGCTTCCAATCTGGTAATCTAGGTCAAGCTCCTAAATCATGAGGCCCACAGGTGATCTCACCAGGTCATTTCTTACACATTCTCTCCTGAAAGGAGAGGAGGGTGTATGTCTGGGTTCTCTTTGCCACAAGTGTAGCTGCAGTTAATAAGAGGGAGGCTCTTCTCTTGCTACCCTAACAGTTTATACCAAAGACTGGTTTGTGGAAGACCTGCATGAGAATCGCCTAGGGTGTCTGTTAAAGAGGAGGATTCCTGGGTCCTGCCCAAGAACTACTGAATCATACTCTCAGGGAGTGGGCCCAGGAACGTGCATTGCTAGCAAATGTCATCAGTCTTAAGCACACTGAAGTATTGCAACCATCACTTTAATATACAGTTGTTTTACAGTTGGGGATGGGGTGGGGAAGGCTCTTCCCTTTATGTTTTGGGTCAATTTATTGCTGGGAATATTTGTCCCCTAATTACCTGCTGAATATTATCTGCTAACAAAATATAGTAAATGCTCAAGGAATATTTGTTGAAAGATTACTTGAGGAGCATAGCATTATACTTCCTTAAGGATGGTGATAAGCAAAACATTTCAATTCTTCTAACCTAGATAGTAGTGATTTTATTCCAAATATATTTTTAAAAGTATTTTATAGTCTTGTATTTCACGTATACAGGATAGCTGTACTTTGAAAACTGTAGGGGTAAGACAAGCCAAACTTTATTTAGATGTTAGGCTTGCTCTAATACAGACCATGAAAAAAAATCACTTGTGCTTCTCATGTCAGTTAAATTTGGGTTAAAGAATTCCTGCAAAAGAAAAATAAATGGATGAAAATGTAAGCATCTACAGAAAATATAAAGCCAAAACAACAACAACGAAAATGTACATAGGGTTGTCCTAATGATGAAAAAAGTGAACAGAGGTGTCAGCACACCCTCAATGTTAGGGGCACTATGAGGCTGACCCAAGGGGTGCAGGAACCAGCAGAAGGGTACAGGGCAAGGGGGAACCAGAAGAGACAAGAACGAGGAGGCTAAGAGCATCAAGGCCTACTCATCAAACCCTCCCAAGAACCAGGAAACTAAGGACGTTGAGAAACCTAAAAGCTAATCTGCAAGGCAAAAGATAAGAGAAAGGGGACTTTTAATGGGGTTCTTCAACTATTGGGTCAAAGGGCTACCGATATACTATATTATACTTCTAGACTACTTTGTAAGGCATGTTAAACTCTAACATTAATATCCAATCAAAACTGTATAATCACATCAGTATCTGCACAGGAGAAGGGCCCTGGCTAGATTTTTAGTTAGTTTTAAAATTTTCAGTTCCTTCTTATATTCCCAACTTAGGGAAACTTGGGAAAATATCTTACATGTTCTCTGTGGAAGAGAAGAATAGATAACAAGTAAACAGAAGCAATATAGGATCACTCTTCAGAGGCCTTACTTCTTAGGAGACTGTCATTCAAAAGCGAGGCAAGGCTCTCCCACCCCCTAATTTGTTCGTGGGGCATATGTGTGCACATGGTGTATGTGTGTGGGTGTACATGAGTGTGTGTATTAAAGGGACATGGGTGGGACAGACCAACTCTCAGACTATGACCTACCTTGCATTTATCAGCAGCAGGACGTAAACACTCACATGAACACTGTCACTCTGGAAAAGAGATAAAGTTTTAGGTATGTATCATAGTTTTTCCTCCTCAGCAGAGGAGAGAAGACAGAGACAGAGGCAGGAAACATACACACACAGAGAAATTCTCCTAATCTGGGGCTCAAAACAGTATGGGTGAGCCAGTCCTCATCCCTTCCTCCCGATATATTCTAGGTCAGGTAAGAGCACAACTCCAACAATAAGAATGAACTGAAGACAGACTTGGTGGAAACTCACTTGGGCTTTGGACAGCCATATTCCTTTTCAAAGACATGACAGAAGTAGTGAGCCTAATATTTGTGAGAGATGTACCTGCACAAAAATAAGAGAAATAAGAAAAATCGTTTGCAAAGTTCTCTAAAATTAATCTGTGATAGAAGATAACAAAGTAACCCTATAAGCAAAAATTACCTGTAATCAACTTTTTTTCCAGTTCTTCTTGGACTTTAAGAAGAATTCTCTCCTGTTCTAAGGCTTCTATGTACTTTGAATAGCACCAGGTTGGCTAAAAAAACAATTTTCCCAAAGTTAATTCTGGAAATTTTTGCCTCAGGAAACAAATTGAAGGTAAGATGGTTTCTATCAGCCTCTTCATTTAAACTTTTTATTAAAATATAACACATGTAAAGGAATGTGTATGTGTCATAAGTTTATAATGATACGAATTTTCACAAATGAACTTATCCATGTAACCTTTTAACTGGGTCCTGCAAATTATTAACAATCTATCTTAGTCCATTTTCATAAGAATATTTATGAGGAATTGAAGGTATTCTTTTCAATAGTCTTGAAAACACTTTTAAATTTCCTGATTAAGAAGGAAGTGGGGTGGGAATGAGAGGGTGGTGATGTGCTGTTTCTCAGTGAATCAAGGTCAATGACAGCTTCATAGATATCTCCATAATCAGTCACCTTTAGATGTTCACTTAGATTATGGACTTGGAAAGATCCAAGTTTTATAAAGAAGGTAATTTTGCATTTGGATTAATTACAATTCTTCAACGTACAAAATCTATCTGACACAAATGCATATTCAGTAGGCCCTCTGCATCTGCAGTTTCCACATCTACAGAGTCAACCGACTGTGGATCAAAAATAGTGGGGGGAAAAAAACACCCAACAATAAAACAGCAAAAAATTAATACAAATTACTAAACAATGCACATTAAACAACTATGTATGTAACATTTACGTGGTATTAGGTATTATAAGTAATCTAGAGATAATTTAAGGTATACAGGAGGATATGTGTAGGTTATATGCAAATACTACGCCATTTTATATCCGGTACTTGAACATGCTTGGATTTTGGTATCTGAAGGGAGTCCTGGAACCAGTCTCCAGTAGATTCCGAAGGACGACTGTACAGGGCATTCACATTTGCAAAATGGCAGCGTATTATTATTTTATAAATTGCTACAGTAATTGAACATGTATACTTTAAATAGCCATGATAATAATAATGTATATTTATATTTATAAAATATCTTTGGTTTTCAAAAGCTTTTCAGTGTCTTACAAAAATCTTGAGATATATGACAGGACATCATCATGATCTAATCCCTTTGTCTCTTTCTAATAGATAAAGAAACAGTCTCAAAGGAAATTTGTGATTATTTTCATGCTTCAAGGTAATATTGACTTGTGACAGAGCAAAAACTGGAAGGTTGGTATCTCTAATTCCACCTACTCCCCTTTGTTTTTACACTTTGTTTCTGAAATTTAATGTTAGTCATTAGCTAATGAATGTATTTCTGAATGGTATTATTTATTAGGTATCATACATTTTTGGATACCTCTTTCCACAAAATTTTTGCATATGGTTCCACAAAATTAGATATTTGTCTTCTCTCAATAATAGCTTCATAGTCTACCAGTTATCTCAGCTGGGTAACTGAACTTATATGTGATTCCTAAATGCCAAGAAGATTGTTTCTTGAGTTCGTATCATCCTAAGATGCAAATGCTTTCAATACAAGTCAGCAAAGATAAACATAAATTAAGCTCATGAAATTTCAGAAAAGTGATAATGTACTAGTTATAAATGTAAATGTAAACATAGAAACTGTACATGTATTAGTTGGTGGTCACGATGGCCAATTTTACTACCAGCTCAAAGAATTTAAAAAATTGAAACTAAGCATTCAACACTCTTCTGTCATCTTTTAACCCAAGAATATAACAATCTATATATATTCTATCTTGTTCTATTAAACTGTATCTGTCTTTATTTTCTTTTTCAATAAGATTGTCATTTCAACTTCTGCAATTTAAATCTTTTTCATGTGAATCAAGAAGTTATTTTCCTTGATTATATTGTTCAGGATTAGCTAAAATTTTAATGTTCTTGAAGGCTCAAGGAGATTGCCTTCCAATTTCTTCTAGTTTTACAATTTTTGCCTTATTTTCAAACAAACAGATCTCTAGTACTGTACAAGGACCGAGTTACTAAATTCCATTATCCAATGCTCTAAAGAGGAAAAGAGACCCATATCATCTTGCCTGCTTACCTGTCGGCCGTACACCTGCAGGCCTATGAAGGAATCACTGACTACAGCAGTTGCTTTGGTAGCAGACCCTGAAGTACTTGAGTGTTGTTTGATTCCATCCTGTAATTATATTAAATTAAATTATTCCAAAAAAGGGATAGTGCTATGTTAATATAAACTTATAGTTTAGGAATCATAACATCATAAGACATAATAGTTTGTGGTGAGTGCCCACTTGATGAATCAAGTCAATATCACTACAGTTTAATTTTTTTTTTTTTTTTTGAGACAGAGTCTCGCTTTGTTGCCCAGGCTAGAGTGAGTGCCGTGGCGTCAGCCTAGCTCACAGCAACCTCAAACTCCTGGGCTCAAGCGATCCTCCTGCCTCAGCCTCCCAAGTAGCTGGGACTACAGGCATGCGCCACCATGCCCGGCTAATTTTTTGTATATATTAGTTGGCCAATTAATTTCTTTCTATTTATAGTAGAGACGGGGTCTCGCTCTTGCTCAGGCTGGTTTCGAACTCCTGACCTCAAGCAATCATCCCGCCTCGGCCTCCCAGAGAGCTAGGATTACAGGCGTGAGCCACCACGCCCGGCCCCCAGTTTAATTTTATTTTACACAAATATAAAAATACTTAAATGAGAGAAATTATTAAATTGAATGTAAAAATCACTCTCAAATTCTAGAATCCAGAAAAACCTCTATAAACATTGTCATGAACATCCATCCAGATTCCTTACTAGGGAAAATGCATAACTCTATAACTTTAATATTTTATTATATAAATTTTATACAAGTGGAATATATCTATATTTGCTCTTTTAAAATCTTTTTCATATAAAATATTTGTGAAAATGTTTCTATGTGAACAAATGTAGAACTGGAATGTAAGCTGGGTCTTCATATTATTTACCATTATATATCCACTTATACAATAGTCTCTTCCACAAAGCATGCACTCACATATTTTTTGGATAATGAAATGAATAAATTAATCACCATTTTCAATATATAAGTGATCTTATGCACTCAAAGATTTGTTGAATAAGATGAATGAACTATATCATTTTATTTTTATTTTTTTTTTGAGACAGAGTCTTGCTTTCTTGCCTAGGCTAGAGTGAGTGCCGTGGCGTCAACCTAGCTCACAGCAACCTCAAACTCCTGGGCTCAAGCAATCCTACTGCCTCAGCCTCCCGAGTTGCTGGGACTACAGGCACGAGCCACCATGCCCGGCCAATTTCATATATATATATATATTAGTTGGCCAATTAATTTCTTTCTATTTTTATAGTAGAGATGGGGTCTCGCTCAGGCTGGTTTTGAACTCCTGACCTTGAGCAATCTGCCCGCCTCGGCCTCCCAGAGTGCTAGGATTACAAGCGTGAGCCACCGCGCCCGGCCTATATCATTTTAAATAGGTAATATTTTAGTAAATGCATGTGCCATAAACAATTTAATCAATGCCTCCTATTAGAAATTTAAGTCATTTTCAACTTTTTACTGTAATAAATGAGGCTACATACATCTATGCATTTTTATAATTTTCTCCTTTAGAATGTCTAAAAGTGTATATTCTGATTAAAAGGAATGAACATTATAAACAACATATATTGTCAAACTACCCTTTATAAAAAAAAGCACCATTTTACATTTTCTCCAATAATGTATGAGTTTGTATGCCTTTTTCTCAAACTCTCAACCAACATTGGGTATTTCCAATATTTTCTTCTTTTCCAGTCTTTATGTCTTTGGTTATCAGCAAGGTTGTACATCTTTTAATTCATTTACTAATTTGTATTTCTTTTTGTGAATTGCCTGTTAATGTTCTTTGTCCAGTTTTCTGTTAAGAGTATTTGTCCTTTATCTGACTGATTTTTACAACTTACAGCATACATTATGTTTACCAATTTGTCTTTTAGCCTTGTATATTTTTGCCATTTAAAAGTTTAAATTTTTTATTTAGTTAAATCACTAATCTTTTGTTAATGAATTTGTCACTGTTCAATTTAAGTACTTGATATTAAACTAGATGAAACTTTTTTCATGAGATATTCCTATCATAACTTTCTTCAGATTACCTGGCTCCATTTGATTCCCTGATATAATAAGAATAAAAAAATGGTATATTTGATACTGTTATTTCTGTTATAAAGAAGGATGATACTGCTACACTATTAATAATAACTAACAATTTACTTTTTGACATGGATTATGCTTCATATATCTTTTTTTTTTTTTAGGAGAGCATGATCGTAGTTCACTGTAGCCTTGAACTCCTGGGCTCAAGCAATCCTCCTGCCTCAGCCTCCTGAGTAGCTGGGACTACAGTCATGAGCCACCATGCCTGGCTAATTTTTTAAATTCTTTTTTTAGGGATAGAGTCTCACTATATTGCCCAGGCTGGTCTCAGACTCCTGGCCTCAAGTGATCCTCCCACCTCAAGCCTCTGGAGTAGCTGTGATTATAGGTGTGAATCAAGGCATCTGGCTCATATATCTTATTTAATTCTATCCCATGATATGGGTTCTATTATTATCTCCATCTTACTGAAAATAATGAGGTTTTGGGATGTAAAGTGGTTTGACTAAGATAACAGAATTAATAAATGGTAAGGTTATATGAGGCCATAAGAGTAGAACCCTCATGCAATAAGACTGTGGTCTTATAAGAACAGGAAGAGAGTGAGATCTCTTTCTCTCTCCTTGTCATGTAAGAACACAGCTAGAAGGCAGCTGTTTACAAGCCAGGAAGAGAGCCCTTACCAGGAACTGAATTGGTTTTTTTTTTTTTTTTTTTTTTTGACATTGTCTCACTCTGTCACCTGGGCTAGAGTGCCATGATGTCAGCCTAGCTCACAGCAAACTCAAACTCCTGGATTCAAGTGATCCTCCTACCTTAGCCTTCCAAGTACCTGGGACTACAGGCATACACCAATGCACCTGGCTATTTTTTCTATTTTTAATAGAGACAGGGCTTTCACTCTTGCTCAGGCTGGTCTTGAACTCCTGACCTCAAACAATCCTCCCACCTTGGTCTCCCAGAGTTCTAGGATTATAGGTATAAGCCACTGTGACCCCCAGGAACTGAATTAGCTGGGACTTTTAGCTTCCAGAACTGTGAGAAAATAAATTTCTATTCTAAGCTACCCAGTCTGTGTGGTATTTTTTTATGGCAGCCTGAATAGACCAATACAATAGGGTACCATTTATGTAAGTTCAAATATATATACAATAGTGCTCTGTATTGTTTATGAATACATACACATGCATAACACACTATCTTTAAAAAGAGCTGGAAGCATATATCCCAAACTTAATGATTGCTCTTAGGTATGGGGAAGATATCAGAACTCCAGGGATGGGGTTAAGAGTTTTAATTCTATTTGCAATATTTTATTTCTTATAGGGGGGGAAAAAGCAAATGAGGCAAAATGCTATTTTGATCTGTATGAATATGAGTGTTCATTAGTTAGTTTTGTATCTTTTGGTATCTTTTACATTTCTTTAAAGAAAATAGAAGAAGCATATGCTTATAAATAAGATGAAATACATTACTTGGGAGCAATTACCTCTTCTCAATGAAAAGAAAACAGATAAATGTCAGGAGAAACAGACAAATGGATGAGTGAATGGACAGACTAACAGACAAATAGGCAGTCTGACCAATTTGCAACTCAATTTCACAATGTATCATTCTGTAATTTTTATAGTCAAAATGCTGCCCTCTAGTACATACTTGTTCATTCATTCATTCATTCCCTGATTTATTCAATAAACAATCATTAATAATTGAGCATGAGCACGTACTAGACACTAGTATAAGTGCTTATGAAACACGGATGAATAAGGCAGATGCTAACCTTGAGGACCTCAGTCCAGTGAAGAGACATATGAAAGCTTAATCATAGGACAATAGAAAGCGTTCTCTGTGCAAGGGGAAACATTACTGCAGCATGTGCAAGCTGCTTGCAATGCCAAGGAGAGTCAAGGAAGATTTCACATAGAAGAGATGACATTAAAGATGAATTTTGAGGAATTCAAAAAAAGTCTGAAACCTCTGACTAAACGTTAAAAAGCCACTAAAATCTGTGTTCTGTAACTTCTTTGTACATAGCCTCAGCACAAATTCTTCTACAATTCGCACATATCGCATACCTTTTAAAAGTCTGATTAAACCCAAAAGGAGTCTTGTCTTACCTTTCCCAATTTTTCATCTTCTGTCATTGTCAATTTCTTTTTATGCTTATAGTCTTGTCTTCTCTCTAAAGCACTCATAATTTTTTCATCAGTTAAGTTCTTCCTAAACTCACAAAACTGAGGCCAGAATTTAAACAGAACCCCAAAAATTGTCATCTGTATAAAAAAAGAAGTATGTCTCAGATTACAATTTTATACAAATGTACCAATTTAAACTATAATTTGCCATAATAATGGATTAACTATTCTATCTTTAATATACACCATGTTTCCTCCAACTTATTGTCTCCAGACATCTTGGTATGGTTTAGCTCAGCACATGCTTATCATCAATGGTTTTTATTGCCAATAAGAAGTCTTTCTTTTAAAAAAAAAACATATACTAAATACACTTAAAAGTCACTTTATTCTTTATGTTTCCCTAACCAATTGATTGTATTAATAAAGAATCCATTAGGTCTTTTAAAATAAGAAATTTATGTTTTCTTTTAAAACTTATACTAGTTGACCTGCCACACACTCTGCTGTTTTATGCAAGTATTCCAAATATTCAAGGGAAACTCCCTCCACCCCTTTTTCTTTCTTTTAGAGAAAGGAAATACCATTTTGCCTCTGGAAAAGCTCTTAAACAAAGCTGCAGATCTAAGAATAAATCTTGAGTAAGTTTTAAATGATATAATCTCTCTTTTATGTGAGAGCAAGAAAAGTAACATTTAAAAAGCAGAATGGCATCCTGAACAAATGCTTTCTATGAGGACACTTTACATTAAGTGATTAATTGTGATATTTATAGAGATAAGAATAGTTGCTCTAATTCGCATGCCAACTTTTTCCATTAGTTCCAGAGGCATACATTACTTCCAAGAAGGTAGGACTTGCCACATCAGATCAAGTCCAACATCACTGCTAGGAATGGCCTTTACCTAATGTCCTGGAGAAAAATGAACCATCCCATTAGGCTCCAAGCCAACTCTTAGGGAAAAAGAGTAACCTTTAAAAAGTAAATGCTGCAGTGATCAACAGTCCTGAATTGGCATATTTCATTACTTCTCTTTTCCATACATGAATGTTATTAATTCTAAAATTATTCACTGCTTTTAAAATATAGTTTTAAATTTAATTCTATAGTCTGTTGGGAGTATAAACCTAAAATCTAGAGATACTTTATTTGATGAAATGCAGGCTTTTAAGAAATTTTCATTTACATTTACTGGCCATTCATTTAATTAAGTAACCCCCTGTTCCAATGTTAAGGGATCATGATAGTTTTTATTATAAACTTCCTAGGCTTAAATACTACTCCTTCTCTATTTACCAACTATTGACTGTACTTCTGTTATCTCTCAAAACCTAAGTCATTCCCAGCTCTCAAATATATATATTTCCATCTAGAAGGCTTTCTGTAAGTCACCCAAGTAGGACACAATTTTTCAATGCAAAGCATAGGATTGGTCTGTTCTTAAAAGTTGCAATTGAAATTTTCGGTTAATATCTATCATTAATGAAAATTACCCTGTACCTCCAGAACCTTAAAAGATAACCAAATTGTGGGTAAGGAAACATTTTTTTTTTTTTTTTTTGAGACAGAGTCTCACTTTGTTGCCCAGGCTACAGTGAGTGCCATGGCGTCAGCCTAGCTCACAGCAACCTCAAACTCCTGGGCTCAAGCAATCCTGCTGCCTCAGCCTCCCGAGTAGCTGAGACTACAGGCATGCGCCACCATGCCCAGCTAATTTTTTTCTATATATATTAGCTGGCCAATTCATTTCTTTCTATTTATAGTAGAGACAGGGTCTCACTCTTGCTCAGGCTGGTTTCGAACTCCTGACCTCGAGCAATCCTCCCGCCTCGGCCTCCCAGAGTGCTAGGATTACAGGCATGAGCCACCACGCCCGGCCAAGAAACATTTTAAGAAAGAGCTACTTTGCTGCTCATTGCCAGCAGATGAGCAATCAATGGCTTTAGTATGAGTGAAAGGGGTCAGTGAAAACGCAGATGAAAATTTCCAGGCCACTGGGAGTGGGAGTAGAGGACAGGCAGAGGCTACACTGATAACAATGCTGAAAGTGTCAGCAGGTTTTTATTTACTACCCAGCCCTTTTGCTCAACTTTGCTCTCATTTCCAATTTGATCTTACTCCCTTCAGTCATGACAGATCTCACATCATTCATTCATGTGCCCCCAAAATGCCTAGTCTATGCCAGGCATCTGGGCCACAATTATAAGAAACATCCCTGCCTTCAAAGAGGTTACAATCTAACAGGAAAGTCAGACGCGAGAACAGTCACTTTCAATTTAGCGCAGTAAGTGTTACCACAGAGACAAAAACAAGGGAGACCGGAGGATACTGCAAAAAGCTCAGGAGGGCAAATAGTCAGAGTCATTTATAGAACTACACGTATTTCAGCGAGACTGGCAGAGATGGCAGGGAGTGGAGAAAGATGTGGCTAGAGAGTTACATAGGAGTATGGACTTCATTCGGAGGGCAGTGGGAAGCAATTTAAATATTTTAAGCAGAGAAGTGACATGAATGGTTTGGAGAGAGCCCAGAGTCAGGAAGTTCTGGTAATGATATGAGATATGTTGCAGATCCAAAGTGAAGTAGTGGTGTGGAGTTGGAGAAAAGTGGATGGAATGACAGATAACAAGGAGACAATGAATGAGTTTTAGGGCCTGATTAGAATGGGGGTAAGGGAACAAAGGAGAGGGAAAACATGAAGATGGCCACCAGACCTCTGGTAGGAGGGGATGCCATTCTCTGAGCTTCCTTATGAAAACAGGAAGAATAAGATTCTCTGGGGCGAGGCCCCTAAATAAAGAGTCTCTACTTTCAGATGCTCCAAAGTCCATGTTTAAGATACATGTAAGACTCCGTTTTAGGAAATCAAGTAGAAGTCATAGGTTAGAGGACATGAGTAAAATTCTTTGGCTGCAATCCCTGAAGAGTGTGCCAGAACCAATGTCAGCAGCTTCAGACATTTACCGTCAGACTCAAGGTCTTTGGTATCAATGGGCAAGTCCTGGTTATCAGGAGACCTAGGGTAGGCTAAGTTATCTCTAAGATCTTTTCATTAACAGATGCTACAATTCTGACACTATGTTTTCTCTATTTCTCTGTAGCACATCCTCAATCATTCCTCTATATGTCTGCCTATTTTGATGCATAATTTAGAATAGGAGTCCACTTTTAGTTCCTTAGGACTTAGGACACAGTTGGCTCACAAATGAACATTAGGGAATAATGGCTTTTTTCCATGCTCATGGGTAGTCATACCCTAAATCTCTGTTTTATATCACTTAAATCATGACATGGCCTTCCCTATTACCCCTATTATAATTTATTTTTCTTAATCATTTTTTAAGGAACAACATCACTAAAAGGCTTTTCAAAATGCAAATAAATTATGTTCACTAAGTCACTGTTTTCTATTATTTATCTTAAAAAGAAGTAATTTGAGGAGGTTAACAGGCATGATTTTCCTTTCATGAGTTTGTGTACTTTATGTTGGTAGGGTACTTAGATCTCCTCTCACTTATTTTATGAGCTATGTGAATATTCCAATTTTTAAAAATATACAAATCTTGGGACACACATATTTTACACATTTTTATGGTAGCAGATATTTTAAAAGGAAATATGAATGGTGGGAAAGGAAAGAGGAATTAGCTGGAGTTTTGTAAGTTAGAAACAAAAATGGTAACCATGGAAAGACAAAGTGTAGTATTAATTTTATTTGCTGTATATTATCATCAACAAAACAGTGTGCAAGTTACTAGATTCTTATATTGCCATGGCATATACAAAGATTATTTAAATCAAATAAGCCTCAGTATTGGGGGAACTGGAACCTTGCCAAATATGAATAATGCAAAAGCTTTAAAAGAATATCTAGACTGTCAATCTATTTTAAAATATGCTTAGGCACATACCCTGATCTCTTACCTGTGCCTCTCTAAATACATATGGTCCTAACTCCTTTCTGTGTTCAATAATCTTCTGGGCTTGCTCTACTGGAATGTCAATTTGTAAAGCTGGTGGAATATTGGAATTAATGAAGCAGTTGATAATAGTTGTGATCTTCTTCTGGATGACAGATGCATCACAATGAGAATGGCACAAGTCCTGAACAAGGAGGAGGAAAGATAAAACAATATATAACTAATGCATCAGCTAGGTGTGGTGGTTCATGCATACAATCCCAGCACTTTAGAAGGACTACTTGAGGCCAGGAGTTTGATACCAGCCCAGACAACATAGTGAGACCCTGTCTCTATTAAAAAAAAAAAAAATTAGCCAGGCATGATGGTATGTACCTGTACCTGTAGTCTTAGCTACATGGGAGGATGAGACAGGAGGATTGCTTGAGCCCAGGAGTTCGAGGCTGCAGTGAGCTATGATTGCACTGCTGCACTGTAGCCTGGGTGACAGAGCAAGACTCTGTTAAAAAAAAAAAAAAATCGGGGAGGGATGGCAAGGGCAACAAATGTAACCTTAACAATATTTGAACCCCCATAATATGATGAAATAAAAAGAGAAAAAAATAAAAAATAAAATAAAATGAAAAACAAACAAATCTCATGCATTACTAGGACATCTTATAGAATCATGTTAATATATGTTCCAATTACATATATTTTAACTTTAGAAATATATACATTTTAACTTTAGGTAAAGAGGGTACTGAGACATGTCAAAGCTATCTTAAAAAATCATAGCTTTCCTTTATTGTGGATCTGAGGAATTTAAGATTTTGATACATATGCCTTTTTTTTTTTTTTTTTTTTGAGACAGAGTCTCGCTTTGTTGCCCAGGCTACAGTGAGTGCCATGGCGTCAGCCCAGCTCACAACAACCTCAAACTCCTGGGCTCAAGCAATCCTTCTGCCTCAGCCTCCTGAGTAGCTGGGACTACAGGCATGTGCCACCATGCCCAGCTAATTTATATATATATATTAGTTGGCCAATTAATTTCTTTCTATTTATAGTAGAGACAGGGTCTCGTTCTTGCTCAGGCTGGTTTCGAACTCCTGACCTCGAGCAATCCACCCGCCTCGGCCTCCCAGAGTGCTAGGATTACAGGTGTGAGCCACCGCGCCAGGTCACATATACCTTTTTTACTGAAAAATATTATGAGGGTACAGATGTTGATGCTACATATATTGCCTTTGCACCATTTGAGTCATAGCTACAAATGTGACCATCCCCAGACAATGCATACTACACCCATCAGGATGCATATACCTTTAAACACAGATTTAATCCTGATCCCTTGTTCCCCTAAGCAAAGGAACAGCTTTCATGTCTAATCTGACTCATTTAACCGAGCTGAGGCTCAAGACACAGTCCCTTACAAGGGTTAAGTTGGACTAATAAAAAGAAAAAAAAAATTAAAAAGTATAAAAATTAAAAAAAAAAAAAGACACAGTCCCTGCCCTTTTAGGGTTCAATCTCTATGGGAGGAAAAGTGTGGAAAACACATCACTCCAATTTTGGATAGTTAATAAATGGTGGATGTAAAAGCTTCCCCCCATCCAGACCTGCTTCTATACCAAGGGGATTTATGCTGAAAAAGGCCTAAATCCATTATCCTATTTATAGATAAATAACTAAAAATAATGATTGTACATTCAAAAGAGCCAGTTTTAAAGTCACAGATAGTAGGGCTATCATTCTTTTTTACATAAAGTAACCTAAACATTTGTACCCCCATAATATGCTAAAATAAAAAAAGAATTATGTATTAATATAAAATTTAAAATAAAAAATAAAAAGCTTTGAGATTAAAAAAATAAATAAAAAAAATAAAGAGGTAGCTAGCTGTGCTTGAATTATGGCATTGCTCTGTCAAAGACATCATTTTCTAAATCACAAAAAGCAAACAAATTTGGAAACTTACAATTCTGGATCAGAAATGAGCCAACATTTATCAAGTACCCTGTGCATACTTGGCACTGTAACAGCTGTCTTAAGGACATTATGAAAGAAAGAAAAATTCTGGTGTCTGTGACATAAAACTTTACATATATTATAGTTTGGCATAAGGTATGTGTGAAAAAAGCTTAATATAAATGTCACATTGAAACAACAGCACTTCTTACTCAATTTAGTATAACCTCAGAAAAAGCCTATTTATACCACATATTTTTGTTTATTTGGGGATTATCATATATAATTATTTGGTGAGCCTCATAATTTTGGAATACTAATATATGGCTTGTAAAACAAAAAAATAATTTGTGAGGTTACACAGTTCTAATTTTGAGTAAAGGGAGAGAATTTAGACAGAATCATTTTATAACAGATACTTTTTTTCTCATTGTTCTGCCCTACTGTGCCATTAGCCTAGTTAACTCTTACCCATTGCTAAGGTCTCAGCTTAAGCATACTTTCCTCTGTTAAGCTTTTTGTGACTCCCTCAGTCTCGGAGAGATGTCCATCTTGGGACTCTGCTGGCTTACTCTGCTTGCTCCATCATTGTATTATACTAATCACACTCTTATAATCACTTTGTCCACCACTCACCTGTGCCTCCCATGACACTGTAAACTCTAAGAGGAAGACTGTTTTGATCATAGTTCTATCCAGGATTTAGCCTGGCCCTTGGTAGGTGCTCAATAAATATTTGTTGGATGAATATATCCTTTTACTCTTTTTCTTCACACACACACACACACACACACACACACACTTCAGATTAAATCATACTTTTTTTTAGTAGCTAAGTTTAAAGAAATCAATCATAAGAATACCTTCTCCCATTATTGACTGTTCTCCCACAACTTTTTTTTTGATACAGGGAGGGTCTTGCTCTGTTGTCCAGGCTAGAGTATAGTGGCATCATCATAGCTCATTGTAAAACCTCAACTTCCCGAGCTCAAGCAATCCTCCTGCCTCAGCCTCCTGACTGGTTGAGACTACAGGTGCACACCACCACACCCAGCCACTCTTTTATTTTTTGTAGAGACGAGGTCTTACTATGTTGCTCAGGCTGGCCTCAAATGATCATCCCACCTCTGCCTCCCAAAGTGGTAAGATTACAGACATGAGTAACTGTGCTCAGCTCCCACACATTTTAAACCAGCAGTCCCCAGCCTTTTTGGCAGCAGGGACTGGTTTTCTAGAAGACAATTTTTCCGCAGATTAGTGGTGGGGGACAGATGGTTTCAGGAAGATTCAAGTGCATTATATTGATTGTGCAGTCAAACCTCTCTGCTAATGATAATCTGTATTTGCAGCTGCCCCCTGTGCTAGCAACACTGCCTCAGCTCCACCTCAGATCATCAGACATGAGATTCTCATAAGGAGCGTGCAACCTAGATCCCTCGCATGTGCAATTTTTTACAGTACGGTTCACGCTCCTCGAGAATCTAATGCTGCGCTGATCAGACAGGAAGCTGAGCTCACATGGAGGTGCAAGTGATGGGGAGGGGCTATAAATACACATGGAGCTTCGCTTGCCTGCCCGCAGCTCGCCTCCTGCTCTGCTGCTCAGGTCCTAACAGGCCACCTACCCGTCCCAGTCTGTGGCCCCAGAAGGTTGGAGACCACAGTTTTTAATGGCTGCAGAGTATTTTATTGTATGGATATATCATAATTAAATAATCAATGTCCTCTTGTACCACAGGGTTCAAATTTTTCCCAATCCAGAACAATAATTAAAACTACTCTAGCTATCTCTTTGCATATTACCACAGTCATTACTGGGAGGCAGCATAACTTAGTGGTTGAGGGCATGGCTTTGGCAATATAATGACCTGGTTAAATTCTAGCTCTAACACTTAATTAGCTGTATAATGTCGAGAGTGTCCTAACTTTTCTGGACATTAGCTTCATCTGTCCTTGACTTCATAGGATTCTTGTGAAGAATAAATTCATTGTTACACAAAAAGCATTAAGACAATATCTAGTACCTAGTAAACACTTAATAAGATTAAGCCATATGAGAGTTAGCTCAGTAAGACTTTGCCATGTGAAATGCTTTCCAACTAGCAAACTCCCTCAAGACCCAATGCAAATATTGTCACTTTTGCTGAGACCTCCCTGACCTACCATCTCCCCACCCCCTTTATTCTTTCCTCTGAACTAAAATTACACCTAGTCAGAACATGGATCAGAATCAACACTATTTCATATTTTTTTTCATGGATGTCTTCCTCCTTGAGGGAGAGAAATGTATTGTAGTCACCTTTTTATTCCTAGAATCCAGCATAATGCCTGACACACTAGATACTTAATGTTTGTTGGATGAAAAAATTTACTCCTATAGCATGATTTTTAATGGCTACCTACTATGGTGAGTCCTTCATGCTATACTGTAGGAAAAATATTAAAACAGAGACCAAGGGCAGCCTTGAAGGAAAAGGTCACAAAACCAAGGGTTGACTATGTGTGAGTCTATTTTATTTTTTAAAATACCTATTTTATAAAGTTTATCTCATTAAAAAATTTACTGTGGAAAACAGACTCTACTTCCTAATTCTCAAAAACCTTATTTTAATATTACTCTTGTGAAAGATAGTGGAAAAAACTTCTCTCGAAAAAAATTTTTTATATTACTGCCTAAGCAGAGAATTGTCCAAAACTGTTGATAACAGAAAAGAGTAGAAAACAGTTTCATGGTATATTTGAGAAAGTAGATTTTATTGAGTAACTATATATTAAGCAACTGTATTAGTGTTACATAATATATAGTTAGATATAGGTCATTTGAAAGCATTATACACTTACATTTTGTTTTATTTTTATTTTCTACTTTTACAATGGGATAGAATAGGCTACTTATAAGGAAATAAGCCTGATAACTCTGGGGGCATTTAAGCAGAGACTAGATACTTCTTAGGTATTTCTAGACAATATTTCTTTATTCAAGTCTAGACAACATAACATATAAGTCTCTTCCTCCTCTTCAATGCAAAGATTCTATATGATGCCATTAAACACTTAACCTGAAAATAAACTGCCTTTGCACCTAACCACTTTGGGTTTTTTCTTATTTTGTTAAGAATTTGGTCATTCTTTCTAATAAAAGAGTCTTTCTCATCACTGTTGGTTTATTTATCTATAATCAAACATCTTTCAATACTATTGCTATAAATATAGTTGGGAAGAACTCTTATAACAAAGTCTTGGTTATATGGTTATAGTGAATATGGATATCTTCAGGAAAGATGTGTTAAGCCACTTATAGATTAATGATATGTAAAAACATAGTTAAAACTCTCTTCAGGAAGGTTTTTATTAAATCATACTGTATGTCGATGCCTTGAAAAATCTAAAACAGGTTGAATATACCTTATCCAAAATGCCTGGGACCAGAAATGTTTCAGATTTTGGATTTTTTTCAGATTTTGGAATATTTGGATTATATCTACCAGGTAAGTATCTCAAATCCAATAATCCGAAATCTGAAATACTCCAGTGAGTAATTTCCTTTGAATGCCATGTCGGTGCTCAAAAAGTTTTGGATTTGGAGCACTTCAGGTTTCAGACGTTTGGATTTGAGATGTTCAACTTGTTCCAAGAGTGATTCCAGGGCTCACTCTTACTCTTCACTGTATAATACCAAATGTATCTAGAGTCTATAATAAACACCTCAATATTTATACTCTGGTAAGAAGATGATGACAAAATTGGGATATCTTATACAGATCTTACCTATTAATATAAAGTCACAGTTAAAAATCTAATATATTAATGCATTTCCTCCTCAAAAAGAGGTAGTCTTCACCAGCTCCCAATATAATACCTTATATTTTTGTACTTCTTGCCAAAAAAGCACCCCATTTTCCAATAAATCTCCTTTTAGAGCCACAAAATGTTGAAATTGTCTTGCAGTAACTGGATTCAATAAAGCTTTACGAAAAGCAATGATTTCACAAGATGAAGATATCCACTTACTCTCCACGGGCTATCCAAAACAGAGAATACAGAAAATTAGTTGTGTGGTAAAAAGTAATAATGTCATTAATTACCTGCTTCTGTTTCCTTTAACTTTGGCTATTCAAATTTGTGGCATGGATACAATAGAATTTGGCTACTTTCTTTACCCTCTGGTTCCTGTCTCTTTTGCCTCTCATATTTTTATGGCATCATTTTTTAAGAGGTAGAGAGAAAAAGAAATGACTGGATGATTTAGAACATTGTTTAAGAATGTTAACAGTTATTACAGTTTGGGACTATGGTGAAAAACTACTTTTTAGTGAATGGTATGAGTTCTATGCTTAAATAGAACAAAGTAATCATAATATTATGATTATATATTATTATGTTACTTATTTTATTATTATATATGTTATATATTAAAATATAATTCTCCTGCCTTTTCACAAAAGCAGTTGAACATTTATTATTTTTTTCATATTATCACATTTTGGATAAAAAAAGATTTTTTAATTTTTTAAGAAAAAATTATCAATTAATTCTATAAATTCAATAGAAAACTTACTGAGCTTCACTATAATTTTATCCTAGAAAGATTATGTTTTTAGGTGAGATATCTTTATATTAATAATAAATTATGACCAATAATTAAGAATGATAATGATAATTACTAATAAAGTATTTATAATAATAAAATTCCTCTGAGGATTTACTTTATATAACATAAAACCCAGAAGCACTAATGGTGTCATAATATTTTTATCTACATTTACTTTATATCTTCGCAATTTTAAAATGTCTACTTTTTTTTATTTCGATCATTTAAAATCGCATATTCAACCTCCTTTAGCCTCTCAGATTCGAAAATATAAGAAAGAGATTTTACTGAACTTATTGAATAGATCTGAATTTTATTGACATTCTCCAAACCTGATTTTATTGTACAACTATGCAAGGAAGCATCATTCCAAAGGCAACGTTTTACATGTACTTAGGCATTATATTAATTAAAATACATGAAAAATAGCCATTGCTGACAATGCATAAAATAAATTCCTTGACACAAATCATATGTGACCATCAATATAAGTGTTTAGAGAGTTATGTGAAAAAGTGCCAAGGGAACACAAACAAAGGAGTAACTAATGCTATCAGAGGGAGTGAAACCTTTACAGGGAAGGGCCTTGAGGATGACCTCTGAGTTAGAAACTGAAAAGGGAAGGTAACTTCAGGCAGTCTAGATGAATGGTGCTGCTGTTAACCCAAAGTGAATAGATGTCTATCACTATTTTAGTGAGGTACATGTCATGTTCTCTGAACAAAACAGTTAAGAGCCTCACCATATGGTCCATATTAAAATTACAGCCCTATAAATAGGAACAACTATGTATTAGACAGGGATGTTTATTTAAAATCCACTTACCAAATAATGTTTTAAGGTCTGCTTCTTAAGATACTAAAACTTAGAAATCTAACTAAAACCTGTAATTTAACTAAACAGAAAATATTATATAATGCACAATAATATAAAATGTAAGCCCATTCTACTTAGAATTTCAATCAAAAATGTAACAGAAAACAAAGCTTACTTCCTTTCAAGAGGAAAACACAGAAAAGGGCATACTAACATACATACATTCCTCTAACATTCAAATAAATTTTTATCTTTGTTAGTTTACAGAAGGTCACCTAGGTTTAGTTGGACATTCTGTCATGACTTATAGAAGGATAAATACATATAAACTTGTAGGTTCAAAAATAAGACTAAGTCTATCATGCTTTTGCAAAGCAAAATAGGCAATTTCTAGCACATTATAGAATCATAGTGGTTTTAATCACCACCAAAATGATAGTTATCTTAATTCTTTTAAAGCTAAACTATAATTCTAAATAAAGGGGGAATATAAGTTAATTAAACCTGCTGATTCCACTGCATATTATTCATTCTTTTTGTGTGTAATCCACTCTTAGTAATAAACAACCATATGCTAGAATGAACAGCTTGTCTCAATAAATCCATCACAAGCAGAGTAAAGAAAAATACACATTTTAAAGGCAATCAAACACTTCTAAGGTTGAGCTGGTCAAGGATCTCTCTAAGAACAGAGCTCTGGTAGAGTCACACTTTCTTCCAAATTCCATTCACCAATTAAGAACTGTATCAGTTATAATTTGTTGGTTTAGACCAAATGTAGCAGTGTCTACAGTGAGGGTCTTTAAACAGAGCAGGAAGGGAAAACAATATTTTGACAAAGCAAAACTTACAAGAAGAAGAATATAACAAGTATTACTTGCCTTCCAGACCCCAATTTTCCTTTCATGCTTCTGCAGTAAGAGCTCTTCTGCTATGTCTTTCATCTGTACCTAAATGCAAAACCAATTATTTTATCCCAGTTATTCAGAATGTCTAAAGTTTTGAAATTATTTACTAATTTAATAGCTAAATAAAAAAATGAGGTAAAGGTCAGCTTCAAAAGAGACAGTGCAGTTCGGGAGAAAGAAGATCAAACTCAGAAATGGAAACCCTGCAGCTAGGTCCTTGGGGGAATCACTCAAATTCTCTGCACAGTTTCCTCATCTGCAAAAGAGAGACAGTAAATACCTGACTGTACTGCCTCCAATGTAGGTGACAGTTTCACTTTGGCTCACGTGGGAACAGAAGCTGGAGAGACAATTATGACTTCTCAGATGTTTGTTCTATTTTTTAGCCATATACTTTCACAACTTTAGAAGGGTACAAAAGTTACTCAATACAGAGGGAAATACAATAGATAACTTCTTGGAGTTATTCCCTATTCATAATATTTCCCTTTTCTTGGGAACCACTCTTGCCACATCTGGGCTATTGACTCTCCCTCCCAGTCCATAGCAGAATAAATCTAGAAACTGATCTGGAGAGACAAGGACTGGATTCACTGGGACTGAGTCTTTTTGATGGCCATGGCCAGAAGAAAAGATCTGAGAATTATTGCTGGGTTCCTAGGGTTATCACGGCTGACATCTTTTCCAAACCTTGGGCATTAACTCTTCTTCCCTTAAGTGTGTGAGATGCCCCAGCACCATTTTAGAATAAATTCTCACCCTTCCTTTTTGTCTTTGGCTTAAGGTTGCCAGAATCAATTTGTTTTACTGGCCACCCAAAAAATGGTAAGTCAGGAATGACTATGAGTTACAATAAGATGACTGTTGTAAACAAAATGAGAAAACGTGGTAAATAATATTAGTAAGCCAAATGTGTTTTTACTTGGCTTTGGATAGAGAATTGGAGTTAGCCTGAAGAAAGGAAATGAGGAAATTTGAGTTTTCCCAAAGCTTATTTCCAGGAATTTTTTGCTTAAAACAGGTCAGCTCTTCTCCACACTAAAAATTCTGTGTTCCCAGCTATATTGTGTTTTCCAAAACATACATTGCTCAAATGACTAAGGAAGTTTCCAAGTAAATAGGCCTCAAAGTGTTTGAGAAATTGAATAGAGGAAAAATTTTTCAGGTTCTTCCCAATCAGTATTAATGGTATGTGGCTTTGCATACTAAAGTCCAAAATGATATGTTTTCTGACCCTTGTGTAATTTTTGTAAAGATTAGGTTTGCCTCTTTTTAGGTATGCTAATGACATTTTAAATTATCAAAGTAATACTTCTTATAAAATAAAAACAAAGCAAAGCAAAAACAAACCCGCTTTTCAAAGTAAAAAGTAAAAATGCTTCTCACCCCCCAAACCCATTTCCAGGAGAGAGATCCTTTTAAATCTTTTTCCTTAAGCATAACAATTGATAGTTAAACTGACAGATGGATGGATGTATAGATATGCACAGATAGACAAATATAGTGATGTAAATAGATGTAATGGTATTATCTTCTATATAGTGTTCTGCATCTTGCTTGTTTCATTCAATAAATAACATCTTCATATCAGTACATGTGGAAATCTCATTTTTATATTTTAACCTCATTTTTATAATCTCATTTTATGTGGGAATCTGCAAAGCTTTCCACAGTATGGAATTATCATAACTCACTCAATTCTTCTCCCATATGATATTGCAGTGAATGTCCTTGTATATCCTTGTCCATTTGTGTGAAGACTTAATAATATTAAAAATAACAAGTATATTAATAGATAACATTGAGTGTTTTCCATGTGCCAAGCACCATACTAAGAAACTAAACACATATTAATTTCATTTCATTTTCACAATGACCTTACAATGCAATAGCTATTATTAGCTCCATTTTTCACATGGAGAAACTAATTTATGAAAGTGGTACAATTAATATGCGGCACTGTTGAGATTAAAACTTAGAGTCTGAGCTGGGTGTGGTGGTGTGCACCTGTAATTCCAACTAGTTGGGAGGCTGAGGCAGGAGGATTCCTTGAGCCCAGGAGTTCAAGGCTGCAGTGAGCTATGATCATGCCACTGCACTCCAACCTGGGCAACAGAGTGAAACCCTGTCTCTAATAAAAAGAAAAAAAGAAAAAACCAAACCACCCAAAACTTAGGGAAGCCTAACTCCATGCTTTTAATCGCTATCAACAGAAGTACAATGGCTACGTCAACAGGTGTGCACATTTGAGGTTTTGATAGGTACTGCCAATTGCTATCTAAAGATTAATTTATATACCTTTATCTTTTGACGTGCTGCAAATTGTTCACTTGCAAGAAACAATGGCAACCACACATTTTCTAGCCTATTTAGCACATGCTTCTGAACTTCAATTAGAACAGATGCATCAAACTGCTCATGGAGAATCTTCCCCCAGCCACCACTTAAATTCATTATCTAAGAAAATAAAAATGAAACATAAAGTATAAATTTGTGCTTTATTAAATAAACACAAATAGTCATTAATTCATTCGTTCACTCAAAAATTATTTGCTGTACACCTGATAGATGCCACAATTTTCCTTTTCTGTATAGTATCTCCTGGCTATACTGTGTACAGACAATTGCAGTTTACGTAACGGCTATTTAAGATGTGTGATTTTGCTTACTTGTGATACACTAAAAAGAACACAGAAGTGGGATTTTTATTATGTGTGACCATAAGCAATGACATTTTTTTTCTCCATGGACTCAGTATCTTCAACTATAAAATGAGAACATGAATCTATTTGTTTTCTAAGCTCTCTTCTAGGTCTAATATTCTATGAGTGTGTGATTCTAGTCAAATTGACCCATGTGAGAAAGAATTTTCTTTTGTGGATGAGGAAAATGAGAATTAATTGGTTAAGAGACAATCTTGACTTAGATATTATAAATATATATATTAGCAACAAATGTTGGTTTGGAGATGGCAGGATGATGGTAGTGGTAGCAATCAAGGGCTGTTCCAACAACTTCTAAAAATAAAATAGAGGCAGCAGAAAGCAGACAGAAGTCATGTTTTATAGATAAAAGTCACTAATTTGTATAGGTAGCACCATTTATAAAACACAGTTTCTTTGTGGCCTAAATCTTCCTTCTGCTTAATTGTTGACATCAACAAGCTACTAATAGATATTTCCTACTATAACTCTTTGTGTTTTCTACCTATTTCTGTGTACATATTGCCGAAATTTTTGGATTGCTCACTGGCATAAATGCTCTCTTCTTAGTTCTCCTTTGATTAATAATATTAACAAAATAGCACTACTAATAATATTGTTTTGTATAAAGGAGAAATCCTCTTCTTAGCCCTCTTTTAATAATATTAATTAATATTATTATAATATTGTGTTGCATAAAAACAAAAAAGAAAAAAAAGACTACCTTGCTAATCAAAGAGCAAATTGGCTGCACAACTGAAAGTAGGACTAGCATGATCTTTATAGAACTTAATGTGATGTAGACCTCCTTAAGTATAAAATATTAATAAGCAAAAAAGTAATGACAAAGATGAAGAAGGATCACTGGGAAAATGCCTGAGTTGGAAGCACATCCATTTGCTATGATAGTAATGGGTGACTTTTTTCACTGACTTAAATTCTCAGCATGTAGTATGTACTATGGAGGGTTCACACAGTAGCATCAGATACCATGAAACCTCACTCAATGTAGCACAAGTCAAATAGAAAACAAATGCTGTCCATGTGTTTATTTCATACTTGTGCTTATTGAGATACTCAACCAATTTTGCTAATGTGTCCCAGATTTGTATCACAGGGAACTAATGGCAAGGCATTTTTGTTAAAGTTGCCTAATTCTAGAATTTCTGTTCCCTCTTACTTCCAAAAGCTTTTGCTAATTATTCTACCCCCAACACACCAAAATCTAGCTTTTTAATTTGGTGTGTCCTGCTTGTGAACTGCTCTGAACTTTTCTTTAACTGAATTCAGCATTAATATGAAATTTGTATTTTATAAATATATGCCATTAGTCTATGCATTCTTATAAACTACCAAAATAAAAAATTAGGCCAGGCACAGTGGTTCATGGCTGTAATCCCAGCACCTTGGGAGGCCGAGGCAGGAAGATCACTTGAGGTCAGGAATTCTAGATCAGCCTGGGCAACAGCGAGACCCCCATCTCTACAATAAATAGAAAAATTAGCCAGGTCTGGTGGCATGTGCCTGTAGTCCCAGCTACTTGGGAGGCTGAGGCATAAAGATCACTTGAGCCCAGGAGTTTGAGGTTGCTGTGAGCTATGATCATGCCACTGCACTCTAGCCCAGGCAACAGAGTGAGACCCTGTCTCAAAAACAAACAAACAAACAAAAAACCATACACTATGCACTTGATCTTTAGGTATTAATGTAGTACTAACAAACTTTAAACAAATAAATTATAATCTTAATTCTTTATATTTCAAAAGTAAAAAAATTGAGCCACATCTTATAAGTGTTACATGAACACAAAGCCACTGCTGAATCCTAATTTAATAACACTGTAAATATTAATAAGCTGTGATTAAGGCCATAGGACTGTTACCCAACAAAATGGCCAAACCTATGTTCCTAGCCAGTGAAAATAGTTTCTGGGGACAATACAATTGTAAACAGGATTTTCAAAGATCGTTTATGTTTGGAGTAATATCTGTTAAGAGAAAAACAGAAAAGAGAGATCAGGTTTAACAGTTGATAATGGCTGTTTTCTGCTTGCGGAACGGTGCAGGGACCTTGTCCATCTTGTTCACCACATTACCCCGAGCAACCAAACAGGGTCTGACATATCATAGGAACTCAGATTTGCTGAACTAATGAATCAGTGGGTGAATAAAAGTTATTTTATTCTATAAATTACTTTTCAAAGTAACACATTTTTATTCTATGCAATACTTTAGTGGATTTTAAAGACATTTAATTTACAGATGCTTACAAATATCAAAATAAATATCAAAAGTATCTAACATATAAGTCATAAAAGCAAAAGAAAAGAAAAAAGATTTTCAAGTTGTTAGCAAATAGAAATAAATTATTGCTTTTCATACATCAATGTAAAAAATAAGTGTGTATGTCAATACCTGGTCTTGCTGACGTAGAGAAGCTGGACTGTTGGGTCCAAAGAAATATTTTTTATTAAGGTATTTGTTTTTAATGTATACAGATTTTGCATCCCTTTGATTTCTATCTCTATAAATTATTCTTCGGAACTGCTCAATGTCTATCCAGCACATAAGGTCCATGCTAAAATGAAAACAAAATCTTATTTATTTCTCTAAATTCTACTAAACACCAAACAATTTGTTTTGACAGAACTTATAAAATGGCTATCTTGACTAATTAGCACAATAGATTAGATCACAGAACTAATGAGTACAATAAAGTATCTCTGATTCTTTTCTAGGCCAGTTAGGTCAACTCCATTATACTCTGAATCCTGACTAAATATATGAATGACAAAGAAGTATTGGGATCAGAAAATAATCTATCATCATTATTGGTGAGGTCTCAGAGTTCTTCCATTAATGATGAACTAGTATCACCAATTTCAAATATGAGAAAATTTACACATATGCCACCTCCATTTGACAAACAGGCCAAATTTAATATAATGCCCATCACAATGAAGGGAAACTATATACAGTGAAATTTGGCTCCCATGTCTAACTCGTTTCTGTTAACTTGGTAGAAAATTAATAGGAAAAATATATGATCAATACTTTAGTTGATACTAGATAAATATGTTATAAGGTTCAAGATTCTGGGCAAAACTACAATGTTTTATTTACATATCAGTTAATAAAAATTGCAAAATATTACAATAATTTTAATATCTTAGTGAAATATAAAAGACACTTTCCAGAAATAATACTTAAAGTACCTGTCTAGAGAAATGCAAATGAAAAAACCAGCAAAAAGGAGAAAAAATAAAGCACACTGGTGTTTTAAGTTAGCCAATGCTAAAAACATCAACATATATTGTGTAACCACTTAAAATAACAATTTGGAGGTTGCAAAAATCAAAATGCACTCCAACAAAAAGTTAACCCTATAGCCAGGTGCGTTGGTTCGCTGTAATTCCAGCTACTTAAGGAGGCTGAGGTGGGAAGATTGCTTGAGACCAGGAGTTCAAGATCAGCCTGGGCAACATAGTGAAACCACATAAAAAAAAAGTTATCCATACAGATTTCATGTAATCATGTTCATTAGTTTTTACTGACATGAGTAAAATCTAGCACTAAAATCTATTCACTATTATAAAATGTTGAATCAAAACCAGTACCTCAGAAAAATTCTCTTTTAAATGAGAATATGCTTAAAAATGGTTATATTTCTCACCTTGAAGAATGAGCCTCAAGAAACTGGCGGAAATGTTCAAACTCCAGTTTGTTGTTAAGCAGATCATTAAAAGTAAAATGCTTGTATTCTTCACGAACATTACTCCAATATTGTTTTTGTTTAGAGACGTTAGAGAGTGACAAAACACTAGTTCCAATTTCACCAGTGGTGTCCTAGTAAAAGGATACTTTTTATAAAAATCTCTTAAATACAGCAAAGTCTTTACAATTTTAAATAGAGAAACTAAAAGAAAATGATCAGGCCAAGGACATTTAACAATTCAATGGTAGAACTGGATAAGGACTCTAGGTGTCTCAGATTCTAACTTATACCAAAGTCTGTTCTGTTTGTTTCCATTCCATTCCATTTTCAAGAACATTTAGTAAACATTTACTATCCATAAAGCACTTCTTTGTAAAATATTAATTTTATTATTTTTCTTAATATTTTTCTTAATATTTCTATTATTTTTCTTAATTGTCTTTTGTAATAAAAAAAGAAGAAAATAAAAATCATACATAATACTATCATTCAGAGATAATCATTAACATTTTTGTATATAGCTTTTCAGTCCTTTCTGTACTTTTCCAAGTAGTTTATTAAAAATAGGATGGTTGAACATAGGATGGTTGAATAGTTCAGCAGATTGAATCATGAAGAAATTCCCCATGTCTGATATAATTTTTAAAAAATGAAGACAGGATTATGCACCCATGTATATATGGTTTGGTAACCTGTTTCTTTTTCTTAACAATATATCATGAACATAAAACATTCTTCTATAACAATTTTAAAAAGTTATAGAGCAATACAAGATACTTATCTAATAATATATTCTTCAAATGTAATGTCTTTCATATAAACATTAATTTTTAAGTAATTTTAAGACCTCTGATGTTTTGTGAATAATGTACAAACCCTAAAGAGCAAAGAGGTAGAGAGGCTCATTCTTTGAAAGGCCCTTCCTTATATAATTCATTCATCTCCCCATTTGTTTTTATTTTGACAGTTTATCTTACGGTTAGCTGCCAATAACCTGCCGATATTTTAAAAACTAATTTTCCTTATGTAGAAGGACTATGGAGAGTGTTATCAATTTTAGTTCATAAAGTTTAAAATACAAACTTATCTCGTACTACCTCTATAGATTTATATGTATCTTTTCCAGGATATTAATTAGTAATGTCTCTAAAATAGAGAACTTCTGTGTTAATAAGGCAACTATCATAAAAGTTACATTTTAAAAAATATTATTTTTGTAAAACTTTATTATAAAAGAATAACAATTTCAGAGAGGTACAAAGAAGAAATTTAAAAAAGTCAACTGAAACCTCACCATTCAGAGCTAACTATCTTTAACATTTTGGTGAGTATCTTTCCAGATTCTCTCTTCTTGCATATATGGACACATGTAGAAATACATATTTAATTTTACACAAATAGGATCATATCACACCAGTGTTTTTGTTCCATACATCTTTATATAATAATATGTCATAAACATTTCCAGGTCAATTAACTGTCATTTTTATGTAGATATATATATTCAAATTTACGGCTTTTTGGATCCGTCATGGTTTACTTAGACAATTCAAAAGATGCAAATTTATAAATCAAAGTAACACTTCAATGTTCTAGTCGATTTTATGATCTTTTTAATAACTTTCCCAACTCCTTTCCATATTTTTTCTTTATTGTTTTTTGCCTATTGCTGTCACACAAGTGTCTTTTCTGTTTAGAAAATGCATTTTGACTCTTTTGTGACCTGACAACAAATATTATGGAAAGAGCAGCTGCCATACAGAAAATAACCAATAACATTCGATATAATGTGGCGTGAAGGCTTGAGTTTCTGGCCTCAGCTAAGGCGAATGAGTGGCTTAGGTAACTGTACTATCTCATCTGTTTTTTCTGGTTCTGTTGTTAAATGTGTCAATAAAATGTAACACCTGTCAAATGCAGCACACTAGGCAAAGAAATGGCAGAAAAACGAAACAGCCTATTCTCTACTTTATCCATACATCATCTCCTCAATATATAATCTCCCCCCCTGCAATATATAAAGTGGTAACCTTCTCCAGGATAAAAAGTTTGTTTTTCTAAGTAAAAAGTTGTTTTACCTCAGTTTTCTTGGAAAATGTCTCTTTATGCAAAGCCTGTAGCTTTCTGAAGTATGTGGAATCTAGCTGTCGAGTTTCTTCCACTAGATCCACCTAAAAATTAATAATAATAAATAATAAAGCTTGTAACATAAACAGAATGCACAATTTGCCAATAACAGTGGGGTAAAAAACAAATACAGTTGCCAAAATAAAACAAAGTATTTAAAAGGCAAAAACAGGAAGACCCACATAGTCAAAAATATTAGCTAAAGCAAGGTCACACTTCACATGCATGTGATATAAAATGCATACATTTCTATGTAATGATAGAGTGCCACCAGAGATCACTCCTCCTATCTAAACACATCATGTAAACTTACAAACAATGCAAAAATGTTGGTCACATTCCCAGCTGCTATTCAATACAACAGAATAATACTTATAAAGGCAGACACTGCTAGCTTTAGGGACCAAATAATTTACAGAACAAGAAATGACCAGACTCTGCAGTGTTACTAGCCTGTGAGCAAAGGCTTTCTAGCTGTAGTAAGAGGAGGAGACAATCATCAAATTAAACCTAACAGCAGGTGTTACTCTTGACCGTGTGTAATCCACTATTCTACATAACCGGGAGAAGAAGACCATTCTCTATTTCTCTATTGCAGGGAACAACCAGTTTGGCTAACTAGCTGCCTGATAACTTTCTGTATTTAATAGCTAGGTTTGGTAGTCTGCCTGGTTATCCTTTTTGGGGGAAAAGCCTACATAATATAGTCAGCTGGGCTTTTAGAGGAGTACTCTAGGCTGAAATTAGTAAGTTTCTAGAACTAAAGAGAGATTTATTTTTCCTTTTATTAAAAACATGTCCTGGCAGGGCTCGGTGGCTCATACCTATAATCCTTGTACTTTGGAAGGCCAAGGCAAGAGGATCACTGGAGCTCAGGAGTTAGAGACCAGCCTGAGCAAAAGTGAGACTCTGTCTAAAAATAGAAAAAATTAGTGGGATGTGGTGGTACATACCTGTAGTCCCTGCTACTCAGGAGGCTGAGGCAAGAGGATTGCTTAAGCCTAGGAGTTTGAGGTTGCTGGGAGCTGGGCTGATACCATGGCATTCTAGCCTGGGTGACAGACCAAGACACTATCTCAAAAAAAAAAAATCCCACGTCCCATGCATTTTATAAGAATCATTACTAAGGTCAAAACTTTTTGGTTTAGGGAAGTTAGTTATAATCCAAAAAATTTGTTTTAACTATTGCAGGACCTTTTCCTGTATGCCATATGCTGTGTTTAAAACAATGACTGGAGGGAATTTTATTTTATTTTATTTATTTTTTTTTTTAGACAACTTTGGGCATTGCCACGGAGGGAATTTTAAAAATTTTCATATGGTGTACTAATTTTCCTAGTGTAATACATACAGTTTTATAGTAAAATGGATGCTACACTGATTTTCAGAACAAAGAAAAATCAGGAATGAAAATTTATTTTGGTCATTGAATTTAGTAAGCCATAAGAGTTGTTTCAGTCACAATCCAAAATAAGGTAACTCCCACCAAGGTGTTTTGGTATTAATTTCATCTTAATCACCTTCCTGGTAGAAGACATGACTGACTATCTAAGAAGTTGTTGGGGAGATATTAACAAAAAATAGCAACACAAAGATAGCAGAGTTCTGCTTGAAATGACCTCATGTGAAATATCCATGGGTAGTTTCAATTTGTGATTGGAAATAAAGATTTAAGGAAATTTCCTCTACCTATCAACAAGAATGGTGAAAATATTCAAGCACTGAGGCTGAAAATGACTTCTTTCAGAATGAAAAAGGATGTGTTGAAACTTCCATCCAACCAAGCAGCCTGACCAGATGAACATCTGGGGGTGCTTTAAAATAGAAGCACTGAAGTCAGAGGATATGCTTTTCACGACATACATGGAACGTTTATATTTTCCATGGGTGTGATATTTATTGCAATTCATCCAGCACTACATGGCATGGCTTTTTCTATTAATCAAAATTAAGGCTACTGCTGAGAAATGGCAAGAAAGGACAAAGCCAGTACATTATCATGGCATATTTTATCCATTCATAGGAAACCAAAACTCAGATTTCTCTCTTCTGACATATTTGTACAGAGAATGAAAAATGATGTAGATTTAAGGTTTTTGTTAGGAGACAACAGGAAAAATGGCAAAATAATAAAGTTAATAAACACTTTCCCTGCCCCAAATTTTGAGGCTGCCTAAATTTAACTCTAAATCTCTGGCCCACATGAGACCTTTGTCATTTCTTCTCTGGTGAGTTAATAACCTGCCTGTCATCAGTTTTATAGTAAACCTGAATGATTCATATACAATTTAACAGTGCCACAATACCTTTCTTTCTTTCTTTCTTTCTTTTTTTTTACTTTGAATCATTTACATCAAAACACAATACCTTTCTATAAGCAACTTGGTCTGATTTTACCATCTTTGTCCAGGGCTCAAGAAGGAGGACAAGGATATATTCTTCTGCTGTGTCAAAAAGGTCTTCAAATGGTGGGTATATTTTCAAATAAATTTCTTTTTTCTCTTCCTGTTGGAGTCCAATGTCAAGAGTGGCCGAAGGAGCAATGTATGTAGCAAATAGATACTAAGGGAAAAGGGAGAGGAACAGGGAGAGGATGTTGGGAGAAACCACAATGGTTAGTGGCCCCCTCAGCAAAGGCATTTTTTAAAAACTAAGAGAAGGTAAAGAAGCCCTAGTGAATATTTTTCTTGAAAATTTGAAAATATGGGTAAAACCACCTAAGACAAAGCAATGCATCTACTGAAAATATTTTTCCTTTTCTTTTTTCTATTTCTTCATCAGTAATTTAGCCAATTTTTCTTAAATTACAAAAATTCTGAGGATGTACTATGTATAATTATAATTGATTTGAGAATACCTCCTTTTTTCCTTATGCTCATCACATTTCTAACACATTTGTGTTACTTTCCGAAGTGGTTTGAAATGCTCTTTTGGAAACAACAGGCAAGAATACACTTACTTAGACTGCCAAGCTGGCTATCAGTCTTCTAGTCCAGAGACCAAACAGACTACCTACCCTACCTAATTGAGTTGCAGAGTTCTTAAGCCTGTTGCTAATTATCCCTTTCTGCCATCAAATATGCCCATCTTGTGTCCAAGGCTGTGGAAGAAATACAGGAAAAGAATAAGAGTGAACGAAAAGATATACACAGAACTTCCAGCAAACAAAAAGATATATATAGAACTTTCAGCAAACCTACCACAAATATCTGTTCCATTCTACTCACTTGTCTTGTCTCTCAATAATAGCTATTTATATCTGAGAAGCAATTTAATAACATTTTATTTTAAAAAACTTTTACTTACTGGATATATCATACCCTGAACATTGGATTTAAATATAATTCTACTAAGAATTTCTAATTAATTGTACTTTATTTCAGTTTTATTTAATATACTTAGATTTTGGACCTGGCAATGTCTGGACTCAACTCTGAAGACTCTGAGTTGGATATATATAAATATATATCCCAAACAGCAAATTATAGTCTTATTTTAAATAATCTTTTAAAAGTTTTAAAGGGTACCCATTATTAACATAAGCATGTACTAAGTACTACACCTACTGCATCATAGACATTTGGCTAGGTGGTATGTGTGCAAAGATTAATGAACAAGAGCCAACGCCTGCCCTGAAAGAGCCCACTTGGTGGTTGCATGGAGGTGAAAACCAATGTTATAATGCAGTATAAGTGCTATGATAGAGGTATGTATTACAAATAAGAGCGTCAACGATTGCCTGCACATTCTTTTAAGCTCATCTCCCATTAATCACCTTTCAAATTTTACACTTAAATACCAAATTTTTTGTAATTTCCCTAACTCTTCCTGTTTTGCCATTCCACACCATTGCACACATTGTTCCTTCAGTCTTGGATATTTACCCTACCCCACACACACATCTTCTCTGCTTGATAAACCCCAATTTATTTTTTTAAAACCAACATGGATTTCTCCTTCTCTAGGAATTTTTCTCTCACATTCTCCTCCATGATCATACTTTCTCTGCTACACCTATCACATTTTAATGCAATTATGTATGTATGTATCTTCTCTTCTAGACTGAGATCCTTGAGGCCAAAGACTGTAGCTTATCCATCCATGAATCTCCAATTACTAAAATTGTTCTTGGCAGAGAGTATCTGCCATTTATTGAATTATACTGAATCCACAGAAAAGACTCAAATAGGTATTGGAATGAGGAAAGAAAGGTTCTGGAAACTCTTTGGAAGGTTTTTTTTTTTTGAGACAGGGTCTCATTCTGCCACTCAAGCTAGAGCACAGTGGCTGATCATAGCTCACTGCAACCTCAAACTCCTGGGCTCAAGCAATCCTCCTGTGTCAGCCTCCCAAATAGCCAGGACTATAGGTGCATGCCACTATGCCCAGCTAATTTTTAAAAATTTTTGTAGAGATGGAGTCTTGCTAAGAGAATATAATTTTTACACTTGATCTTAGCCAAAAGGCCGTGAAGTGATGAGAAGATAATTTTTAAGCTGACTCTTTAAAGAGGAGTTGGAGTCGATCAGACAAGAGAAGAGAGTTGATGAGACAGATGGTCCAAGAAGAAGCAAAACACAGGCCAACGCCTAGAGGCCCAAAGGGGTTTTATAATCTATGGACAGATTCTGGGTTCCAACTAGATAGCACTGGCCAAAGGAAAGATGTAGGACAAGAGAAGATCTATAAAGGGAAGCAGGGACCAGAGCATGGATATGAACTTTTGTCCTTTGTTAAGGAATTTGAATTTTTACCTAAATATATCATAGGGAATCTCTGAAGGGTTTTACTGTGGAGTGACATCACTGAATATAAATTATAGAAATAAATCCCTATGGTATCAGAAAGGAAAAACAGTTTGAGTAATATCAGTATTCAAGGCAGTTTGGAAGTTATTTCAATAGCCAGACAAGAAATTATATGCCACTTTCACATCTTCCTGTTTTTTCACATTCGTCTCTTAACTGGTCTTTCCAGCTGCTTCTTTGCTTTCTTAAAGTCTATTCTTACCACAGCCAACGATAAATCCTTTTGTGCATCACTCCTCTGTTCAAACTCTCCAGTGACTTCCCCTTTCACACAGAATAAAAGCCAAAGTCCTTATAATTACCTATAAATGAAGTGTTTGGAAGTTTTCCAGTGCTGAGGAGACCAGGATTCTAGTTCAGGACCTGTCAGTGGGGAAGCCCCTGTAAACACACTAGACTCTCAAAACACCGAGAGTAGGAATGGTCTAGATACAGACTCCAGCCTTAAGTCTTTAAAGTGCCAAAAGAAAACAACTGCAATTCTGGAATTCTATGTCCAGTAAAAATACTGTTCCAAAATAAAAACAAAATAAAGATGTCATAAATAAACAGACAAAAACAGAATTCATCACCAGCAGACCTATACTAAATGAAATATTAAAGGGAAGCCCCAGAAAAAAGCAGGATGGACTAGGAAAAAATAGAAAGTATAATACATAGGTAAATATTAATTATATTGATTGTAATATATAATAAAAATGAATAAAGTCAGAAGAAATAGTAAAAGAACCTGAGAAAGAGAAGTCAGAGAGCTAGGAAATAAACCAAGTTAGAGTAATGCAGCAGAAGCCAAAGGAAGAGTTAGGTTAAAGACAGAAACAGTAATAAATAATGCTAAGAATATACTTAATATATGTGTGGGGTTTGTGTGTGTGTATGTACATATATATGTATATATGTGGTTATATGATTAAGTGGAGTTAAAGCAAGAAAAGAAGTGAATGTGCTGGTTAAACTGCAATTGAAATGATCTACTATAAGATCCATGACAGATAAGAAAGAAAAATGAGGTTAAAATCAGGGTAGTAATGTGATAACATGCAGGGTACAGTGTCAAAGAACTAGAGGAGATAAGGAAGAACAGCATGTAGGGCAGTTAAAGGGAGCACTAAAGTTCAGCATATGATAGGCATTCAATAAATATTTGTGGAGTGGACAAATGGGAGATTAGTGGCTTAAAGCAAAAAGGTTATCTGAAAGGGAATTAAGAGTTCAAGAATTTAAAGCTAGAGTAGTTCCAAATTATGATGGATTCCAATATATGGCCATTCCCGTAGATAACTGAGGAGAAATGGAGATAAGAGACATTGGAGTTGGGTAGGTTAAGAAACACTGCAGCATATATGTTAAAACGATCATTAAGGTAGATATTGTAAAGCTTCAACATGATAAAGGAGAATAGGTAGGGAGAAATTTCAGAGTCATGTATTGACATTTTTTAGGTAAAGAGTACTTAACAGGTCTTGAGATACCATTGGTGAAGTTTGGGAGAGGGAAAATTAGCAGATGGGGCAAATTTCAAAATTTCTGAAGTTGTTAATTAGTAGTTGTTCATTAATACTTTTTTTAAAACCCTCAACTGTGATTGCAAAGCTCAAGCTTTTGCTTATTTCTAATCAACTCCATTTCTCCATTTTAAAATTTAGCCATCCTCTTTAAAGCTTGCAACTGTACATACCCTTATGCTTCTTCACTTTCAGTAGACTTTATCTCCCACTTAACTGGGAAAAACCACTGGTGTGAATGCCCTCAGCTTTCTCTTCAAGAGCTGTCTTCTAAATCTTTTTGTTTCTCTGATGTCCTTTACAAGTCTATACATACATGTGTGCTCAACTACATTCTTCCAGAGCTGCAACACGAATTATTTCCTTGGTGCCTTGTTTCCTTAAGCTACCTCTTCACTGGTTCCATTTCTTCCCTTAATCTAAAAGGTTGTTGAGGTGATGTGCCTCTCCCATTATAAAATATTTTACCTAACTGTTTTGCCCTCAAATCATTACTCTACTACTCCTCTCTTCCCTTTCTCTAAAAATCTTCATACTCACTCACTCCTCAATCTACTGCAATCTGGCTTCCATGTCAATGACACCAATCTGTAAGATCACTGACAACCACCTAATTGCCAATTCAATAGCCTCTCTCCTTAATCTTCATTCTACTTGATCCCTTATGCAGCTTTGATACTGCTGATTATCTCCTCTCTCCTTGACTCGCTGTCCTCTGACTTCTCCAACACCTTCTCCTGATTCTCTGCCTATTTTCATTTCCTTCTCAGCCTCCTTTGTTGACTCCTTTTCCTCTATCCCTTGCTTAAAAGAAGGCATTCATTAAAGTTCCATGTTCAACTACATTTTCTTCTCAGTTCCCATTCCTACAATGTCTCGCCCGTGCTAGGCACTCTCTCATGACTTTTGTACTATTCCCTCTATGCCATCTACCTTCATTCTCTTTTCCCTGTTCACTGATAACTCCTGAAGTCTGCGGCTTAGGTATCTTTCCTTTGTGCTCCCATGAACCCTATACTTTCATGTTTTCCCACTGGACCATAAGCTCTGTGAAGACAGAGATTGGGTCTACTTTATTACTATATCCCTGCCATCTAGCACAATGCTAAATTTAGAATGAATGGATGGATGAATGAATGAATGAAAGATTTTGTCCATTCCCAAAGATTTAACAGTGAATCAATGCAGAAGGAATCCAAATGTATGTATACATACATACACACACATATATTAATAGCTTTAGACCTGA